AGATTTAAAATATTCTAATCCATGTTACGTTTTACTTTTTTTTTATTTCCTCATTTATTATAACCGAGCCTTATATCTCCTTTCATGCTGTTTGTACTTATTCAAAATCAACATGTTTCCAACATGAACTTCTTTTAGAAAAACTCTTCTTTAACTTCTTCGTTAAATTTTTCAGTCTCTTTAGAAAATTCGTTGCAGTCAGACGTGCGTGGGTGGCTGCTTCTGTTCGGTAACTTGAAAATTCGGTTCAACTGTCGCTATAAATGTAAAATTGTATTAAAAGTTTAGAAAAAGTGTTTAATTATTAAATTCTTCTAATTATTTAACAAAAATTTTAGTGTAAATGTGTTAAATTAGCAAAAATTATAAAACTATATGTAGTTTTCATCTTAACGAAAGTTAATTTGTCATTTCCTTTTGATTTTGTTTTGTTGCAGCAACAAGTTTATTTATTTGCATTTGTTTTCTTTAATCCAAGAGAGTACGTCTTACTCTCTGTTTACTTTTTTTGCTATTAGATTTTGTTGTCTCTGTTTTGTTTTGCATTAATATGAATGTATTTCCTTCGGTTTCTCCTTTATATTTTACTAATACAGTGGACGTCCACTAGTACGAATTATATAGTGTCAGGCCCTTTCGTAATACCGAAAAATTCGTATTATTGAACAACACATTTTGTATGTTTAAATTCAAATAATACACATAAAATATTGGATTTTATTTATTTTTGTTTTATTTTTCATGAAAAATTACATAACGGAACAAAATATAATAAATATGTATTATTTTAAATAAATTTCTTGTACATAAACAGGCATAAAAGGGACATATTTACGTATATGAATTGTTAATTTTGAAAGTATTGTGAGTCCAATGGTTGAAATGAGATATATGTATGTAGAAGGTTTTAAATTTTAATATATATAAATATACCACAATTCTCTAATTTATAATTTTCTCTTAAAAATTAGAATAGTTATCCTTAAACCCATTGTTTGGAATGTGGAGTCACACTACTTTCAAAATTAACAGTTCATACATATATATAAATATCATTTTACTTATTAAAAAATCCATCATTTAACATCGATGTTTATTACATTGTAAAATGATTCTTACGGCTTTTTCAATAACAGCGCTTTTGAGGCTTCAATATTGTTCTCAGCAGAGTTATTGTCGGGAACTAATAAAATACTTTCCTCATTGGCGTTATCATCCAATTTAATTTCTTCTCTTGGGTCATCAAAATTCCAATAAAATAAATTAATAACACTAAATAATTGTTGATTTGTAAATATACATGCAGTAAATTGTGTGTATAGGATTTTTAAAAATACAAAACACTTGTAATAAATACAAAAAAACTTCAAAATTACTGAGCTTAAGGTGAATGATACCAAAATAATAAAATAAAAACATAATAAAAACTTCATTCATACGTAAATAAAACCAAAATTCCCATAAAAAATGAGTTATTCGTACTATCGAACAGAAAAATTGTGACTTTATTCGTACTATAGAGTAGACAATGCAACAATTTTGCCATTCGTATTATTGGATATTCGTAATAAAGAGTGTACGTACTATTGGACGTCCACTGTATGTGCAAATTGTTTTGTCAGTTGTAATTCAGGTCTGAGTTGGGGAACAACTCTCGCGTCATCGTTTTTATTTCTTAAGGACGGTCAGGCTTGTGCTTGTTGCTGGGCTTTCGACAGAATTACTTCTCACCCCGCACTAATTTAATGCACTACTTCGTATAACTGTTCTAAGTTATGCGTTGTCTTCATTAAACGCGTGCTTTCGTTTTACCTCAGAGTGAGGTTATGTATTTAACTGGTGGAGACCATAAAATACTCACGATATAACCTGGTGGAGACCATTTAAACTCAAATATTTACTGGTGGAGACCATTAAAACTCTAAAACTTTTTTCTGGTGGAGACCATTAATACTTTTGATGAAATTAAGTCCGGATGCTCCAACTTCCTATATGAAGGTATAGGTCGGTTGGTGGGGTTTTCTCTGGACAAACGTGTGATAACCTGGCAATATGAGTGCTTAATGTACCGCCATCCTAATTAAAACCCGAAAAAAAAAAAAAAAAATTGTTTTGTGAAATGTTAATAATTTGTTTAATAAAATTATAAGAATTTAATGTTGAATATAATAAAAAACAATGTAATTTGCTAACATAGGAATACAATAAATATGTTTTAATTTAATTTTGATTGATAAAGTGTTCTAGCTCTCGAGAGTTCGTGCGTTCGTTCGTTCCGTTGTTGTTGTGTTTCGTGTGTTTTAATTTGTTCAAATAATATCTGTTTATTTAAAAATATAAAATTTAGTAAATATTTAAAAATATATCAATGAAAAAGTTGCATTTATTGCACTATGGCCTGTTTTATATCAAAAGTGTTAATTTTATTTTTTAAATCATAGGATGTGATTAAATAATCATCAAAAAAATTAAAAATATATATCAATAAATATGTCAATTGATAAAAATTTATTTAATAAAAAAATATCAAAGAAAAAGTGGATTTTTTTGCACTATATTCTGTTTTACAGAGCTTCAATATGCTAATATTTTAAACTGCAGCTAAAAACTATGGCCTCTTTTAAAAATAGTGTCGTAATAAATGATATGAAAAGTTTTATTTTATAAACTAATATCTCAATTATGACACATGCGATAAAACAAAATATCATCTTGATTTTATCAAAGTAAGTGGAATTTAAGTTAAAATATATCTATTGATCCTACATTTTCTTCTTCATATACCCTTTCCCACAGAATAATAAGGTTGTAAACAAACACAAATTCCAATAGTGAATTGTTCAAACTATAATTCAGTATATACTCCAGACTAAAGTCAAAAGTATAGTCAATAGTCCAGTGTAAAGTCAATAGTCAAGACTATAGCCTATAGTCCATACTAAAGTTAATAATCCAAATAGTTTTGATGATAGTCTATACTCCAAACTACAGTCGATAGTTCAGACTATAGTCTACGGTTCATACTATTGTCCAGATAAATTATAATTAATTAATATTATAATAATAGTAATAACATAATTATATAATTTAGTCCAATTTGACTAGAATAGACTAGAATAGACTAGACTAGAATATAGTCTAGACTAGTAGCCTTTATACGTTAGACTAGAAGGTAGTTAAAACAACAGGCAAAAAAATAATTCAATCTATAGACTTGACTATTGACTAGACTAAGGACTAGTCTATAGTCTGGATTTAGATAGAATTTAATCCAGAATATAGACTAGACTCCAGTTTATAGTCTGGACTATAGTCTAGTCTATAGTCTGGACTAGACTCTACTCTATAGTCTGGATTATAGTCTAGTCAATACTCTGGACTATAATCTAGTTTGGACTATAATCTAGTCTATAGTCAAGATTATAGTCTAGTCTATACTCTGGACTATAATCTAGTCTATAGTCTGGACTATAATCTAGTCTATAGTATGGACTATAATCTATTCTATAGTCTGGACTATAATCTAGTCTATAGTCTGGACTATAATCTAGTCCATAGTCTGGACTATAGTCTAGTCTATAGTCTGGACTATATTCTAGTCTATTCTAGTTTATAGTCTGGAGTAAAGTCAAGTCTATAGTCTGTACTATAGTCTGGACTATCTTCTAGTCTATTCTAGTTTATAGTCTGGAGTAAAGTCAAGTCTATAGTCTGTACTATAGTCTGGACTATAGTCTAGTCTGTAGTCTGGATTATAGTCTAGTCTATAGCCTATTCTATAGTCTGGACTAAAATATAGTCTATAGCCTGGACTCAAATATAGTCTAGACTATAGCCTAGTCTATAGTGTGAACTCTACTCTAGAGTCTAGTCTTTTGTCTGGACTATAGTCTAATCTATAGTCTGGACTATAGTCTAATCTATAGTCTGGACTATAGTCTAATCTATAGTCTGGACTATAGTCTAATCTATAGTCTGGACTATAGTCTCATCTATAGTCTGGACTATAGTCTCATCTATAGTCTGGACTATAGTCTCATCTATAGTCTGGACTATAGTCTCATCTATAGTCTGGACTATAGTCTCATCTATAGTCTGGACTATAGTCTCATCTATAGTCTGGACTATAGTCTCATCTATAGTCTGGACTATAGTCTAATCTATAGTCTGGACTATAGTCTAATCTATAGTCTGGACTATAGTCTAGATTGTAGTGTAGTCCATAGTCTGTAGCCTGGACTAAAATATAGTCTAGACTATAGTCTACTCTGTAGTCTGCACTATAGTCTGGAATATAGTCAAGTATATAGTCTGGAGTATAGTCTATTGTGTAGTCTGGACAATAGTCAAGTCTATAGTCTAGACTATATTCTAGTCTATAGTCTGGACTACATTCTGGTCTATAGTCTAGTCTATAGTCAAGTCTATAGTCTGGACTATAGTCTAGTCAATAGTCTGGATTATAGTCTAGTCTACAGTCTGGACTATAGTCAAGTCTATTGTCTGGACTATAGTCCAGTCTATAGTCTGGATTATAGTGAAGTCCATAGTTTTTACTATAGTCTAGTCTATACTTTGGACCATAGTGGATCCAGTCTGCAGTCTGGAGTAAAGTGTGGTCTGGACTACAGTATAGTTTTAGTCTTTAGTTTGACCTAAAGTCTAGTCTAGAGTCGGGGCTAAAGTTTATTTTATAGTATTGACTATAGTCTAATCTATAGTCTCTACTAAATTTTATTTTACAGTTTGGCCCATACTTTAGACTACATATATCCTGCCGCATTATCTAGTACATAGCCTACACTCTAGAGTAGTGAATAATTTCGTGATAGTATTGACTTCAATATTATCGCTACGAGAAAACAAATAGTTCCACCTAATATTTAAATTACAAAATCTCTACATTTCTTAAGCTTTTATCAATAAATCAATTAATTTACATACAAGATTCCGCAGCTATTTATTATAAATAAAATAAACAAAGTAAATTTTTGCAAATACAATGTTAAATTTACTATTTATTTTATTATTGAACAAAGTTCAAATTACTTTTAATTGTATATATTTTAAATATGTATGTATATGTATATAATATACGTTGTATATGTATATAATATTGTTGCAATATTGATAGTAATTATTTATAGATTTAAATAAATTGAATTAAAGTAATTGCGTAATAATTTAAGTGCAAATTAATAGATCTTCTAGTTATAAAATACATATTGATTACACTTAGATTTAAAATAATAAAAAAAACAAATTAACAAAAAAATGTATGCACATGGTACGAAAACAAAATTGCACTTTATTGAAAATTTAATTTAATTTAAATGAAAGCAATAATAATAATAAAAACTTATTCTTGTTTTAAGAATAATAATAATAATAATAAAACATTTAAGCACTTTTAATTAAAAAAGAGAAATTAACTAGATAAGATATTAATTTAATATACATAAGGATCAGGAAAAGGTTATAAAGGAATTAAGATATTAAAAGCTGTAGAATAATTTCATTTGGGGAATTATTTAATAATATTTTTAAATGATTATCATTAATTAAATATTAAATGCTTATTGAGCTTTACTTAATGATGTTGGTGGTATCATTATGGAAGGTGTTGTTGGTTTTATCGAAGCAGTACTACTAGTACGACTAACTGACGCCGGCAATGATGATGTTACACTGCTCACATTTGTAGCCTTTATATAATTTAACAATTGTGGTCAATCTCGTTTTAAATTCACATATTGTGAAGTTTGTAATTTAATCTCCATAGAAGTTTTACCCGATAAGGTACCATTACGTTCCATTAGATTCCAAATGGAACCCATAAATATACAGAAGAGTATAATGGCAAATACTAAGAGTTTGAGCAATAAATATAAAGTCTTATAGCCAACGGGCACTGGAAATTCAGCCATTACTACGAGGCTAGCCAAGAGTATGGCAGCAATTGTAAAGTAAATAATACGATCAGTATTTAATTTCTTTAAATGAGCCTCACACAACTCAATCGATTCCTTGATAATGGCTAAACTTTTCGGCAATCGTGGCTCATCGCTGGGACATTCACCTTCTGAATGCATTGCCGAGGAATGTCCATTAGTTAGTACCGGGGTTTGTGGTGGTGTTAATTTAACATCCCGCATAGTGTTTTCTGCATCCTCGTCTTCTAGACAGGCATTTATATGTTGTATGGAACATGTATCACCATCTTGTTTCGGTTGCAATCTTAAACGCACCTGTACACCTTCGTGATCAGAATAACTGAATTTTTTTCCTGGCACACGATCCGGCAGCGGTAATTTATATTCTAATATAGATGTTTTGATTTTGTCTGCAGAACGTAAGAATATATGATCGATACGAAAACCTTTAGGATTGCGAGCTAGAACTTTTTTCGAGGTATATGAATTCTGTTTACTTTCATTAGTCGAGATCGTATCAGAGTTGCAGGAGTCTTTCATCTGGGAGGTATAGAGTAGGACTCTGTAAGTAGGGTAAGAGAATGTAAGAATAAATTAATTTAATTTTATAATTAAATGTTCAATGAAAATTTAAATTTTCAATGAAAATTTAAATGTTTAATGAAAATTTTAATTTTTAATGAAAATTTTAATTTAAATGAAAATTTCAATTTTAAATAAAAATTTAAATATTTAATGAAAATTTTAATTTTTAATGAAAATTTTAATTTTAATAAAAATTTTAATTTTAATGAAAATTTAAATTTTGAATAAAAATTTCAATTTTTGGTGAAAATTTCAATTTTTAATGAAAATTTCAATTTTTAATGAAAATTTAATTTTTTAATGAAAATTTCAATTTTTAATGAAAATTTCAATTTTTAATGAAAATTTCAATTTTTAATGAAAATTTCAATTTTTAATGAAAATTTCAATTTTTAATGAAAATTTAAATTTTTAACGAAAATTTCAATTTTTAACAACAATTTAATTTAATAAAAATTTGATTTTTTTTAATAAAAATTTGATTTCTTTATAAAAATTTAATTTTTTAAGCAAATTTTAAATTTTCATCAAATTTTCATTTTATTATACAATCTAGTCTGGGCAATAGTGTAGTGGAGCCTAGACTATAGTCTAGTCTATAGCCTGGACTATAGTCTAGTCTATAGCCTGGACTATAGTCTAGTCTATAGCCTGGACTATAGTCTAGTCTATAGCCTGGACTATAGTCTAGTCTATAGCCTGGACTATAGACTAGTCTATAGCCTGGACTATAGTCTAGTCTATAGCTTGGACTATAGTCTAGTTTATAGTCTGGACTATAGTCTAGTCTATAGCCTGGACTATAGTCTAGTCTATAGCCTGGACTATAGTCTAGTCTATAGCCTGGACTATAGTCTAGTCTATAGCCTGGACTAGTCTAGTCTATAGCCTTGACTATAGTCTAGTCTATAGCCTGGACTTTAGTCTAGTCTATAGCCTGGACTTTAGTCTAGTCTATAGCCTTAACTATAGTCTAGTCTATAGCCTGGACTATAGTCTAGTCTATAGCCTGGACTAGACTATAGTCTAGTCTATAGCCTGGACTATAGTCTAGTCTATAGCCTTTAGCATGGACTTAAGTCTGTTCTAAATTCGCAGTCTATAGTCTGGACTATAGTCTAGTCTATATTCTGCACTTTAGTCTGGTCTGTAATCTGGTATATAGTCTGGACTATAGTTTATTCTATAGTCTCGCCTCTAGTCTATTATCTGGACTATAGTCAAGTCTATAATCTGGGCTATGGTTTAGTCTACATTCTCGAGAATAAACTAGTCAATATTCAGAACTATAGTCCACACCATAGTGTAGTTTAGTGTGTAGCCTTGACGATTGTGTAGTCTATAGTTTAGACTATATTCTGGTATACAGTTTAGAGTCTATCTATCTATCTATCTATCTATCTATCTATCTATCTATCTATCTATCTATCTATCTATCTATCTATCTATCTATCTATCTATCTATCTATCTATCTATCTATCTATCTATCTATCTATCTATCTATCTATCTATCTATCTATCTATCTATCTATCTATCTATCTATCTTTCTATCTATCTATCTATCTATCTATCTATCTATCTATCTATCTATCTATCTATCTATCTATCTATCTATCTATCTATCTATCTATCTATCTATCTATCTATCTATCTATCTATCTATCTATCTATCTATCTATCTATCTATCTATCTATCTATCTATCTATCTATCTATCTATCTATCTATCTATCTATCTATCTATCTATCTATCTATCTATCTATCTATCTATCTATCTATCTATCTATCTATCTATCTATCTATCTATGCTAGATTACTGTCTACAGTAGTCAAAATTCTGTACTTAGTATACTCTGGTATTATTTTCAAAATTGGGACCTCTGTCCTGGCAGAGCTTTTTTTTGATTACAATTAATATACTACGTCAGAACAGTTATTCTAAAAAATAACCAAAGACCTTTTATTTAGAAAAAAAACCAGGTCAGATAATATGCCTTTGTTTTCCTCACAACAGTATAATTTTAAAAATCTTATCAATTTCTTAAATAACAACTTACTTGTAACAAATATCCGTTGGTTTTGTATTTAAATCCCCTGCCAAGACTTGTACGGCCGCATCCCAACGTGTAGCCTCTATAAATTGAGCAGTATCAAATGCTTGGATAACACGATGTGTCAAGTAATCATCATTTTTAATATTATATTCAGCATGTAACTACAAAGGGATAAAATAAACAATAAATAGAAACTGATAGAGCAAAGTATTTTTAAATGAAAATACAAAAGATAACAGCCATTGCATATAGTATTGCTTTTGTTTAAAGAAATTATTTTTAAAAATTTCTTTAGACAATGTACCTATAAATAAGTACCTACATGAGCATTGTAAACGTGTACATAGAGATCACCAACTCGTATTCTACACATGCCCACACCCTTGCCACCAAACCAGTCGGCGTGTTGTATACGATGACAATAACCATTCACGGTCCAGGAATGAAATAGACTAGTAACAATGGGATATTTTGATAAAACCAATAAGCCAGCACCAATCACACCACTTTAAGAAAAGATAAAGAAAAAGAAAACAAAACAACAAAGTAGCAATTTATATAATAACATTTTATAATTAAATAACTTTTATAGATTACCTATAGAAATAATGAGCATAAGGCAATACAGCTTTTGTTAGCTCCTGCAAGGTGGCACTATCTTTTTCTGTCCACACCTCTTGCAGCGAAACAATATCATATTTCCCACTACCCAACTCCTTGCCAATATGTTGCATACGCTCCGCTCTATCCGCAGAGACAAAAGGTATGCCCCTGTAATAAAATAAACAATAAATTATTAAATTATTTGAAAAAAATCACACAACCATGACCTTTCCTTATTAGTTTATTAATTTCATTAACAAGGAAAACACACTAAACAAAATCTTCCGCTTATACATAATTTCTATGTCAACAACCTCACCACCAGCTGCTGAGGGGGGCGCTTTACTTTCTTGAAATTTTAATAAAAAACTTCAACTTACCAAACATTTAAGGTTAAAATACTTAATTCCAAAGAGACCATTGTTTACTTCAAAATAAAATCAATTTTTAAATTAAAAAAATCTTAACACACATGCCCTTAAAAACAAATTAATAACACAAAACACGATTTTTATACAATTTTTTTTTTGTTTAATTTCTTTTTCGAAAATATATTTTTTTTTATTCCTATTGATAAATAAGTACAAACTAGTTGGAGCGAACTATTGAACACAACAGAAAACCACTACGAACGAGACATAACAAAAGAAAAACAAAAAAATACAAGCCAGCAAAATCAAATAAACAAAAGTTTAAGAGAGAAAGAGTAAAAAATACACGCAAACAAAATAAAAACAAAGAAAAAACAAACAAAACAATAACAAATACAAATTGTTTATCTTTGGCTACGTTTTCCTTGTGATTACAAACAGTGTTGTCTACACATTTTAGGAACAATAAACGACAGAAATTAAAATATGTCTCTATAATCTAAACTAGGGTTCTATAGTTGAAACGAAAAGTCGACTTTTCGACTTTTTTCATTTAGTTAAAAGTCGACTTTTCGACTTTTTGCATTTTATGAAAAGTCGATTTTTCGACTTTTCAACTTTTTTCATTTAAATAAAAGTCGACTTTTAGACTTTTCGACTATAAGTATTTTATAAATAGTCGACTTTTCGACTTTTTTCGACTTTTTGACTATTTTCGACTTCTTTCTACTTTTTTCCGACTATTTTTTGACTTTTTTTGAGTTTTTCCTACTATTTTAGAGTTTTTGACTTTTTTTTCCACTTTTTTAAAATTTTTGACTATTTTTGACTTGTTTCTACAATTTTCGATTTTTCGACTTTTTCCGACTTTTTCCGACTTTTCGACTTTTTTCGACTTATCGACTTTTTTCGACTTTCAGACTTTCAGACTTTTCGACTTTTATTCACAAAGTCGACTTTTCGACTTTTTTCACAGACGATAGTCGAACAAAATAGTCGACTTCGACTTTTTTCGACAAAAAGTCGATTGTTCGAAAGTCGATTTATAGAACCCTAATCTAAACTAAATTAAGGTGTAAAGCTGGAGGTCCACACTACGCGTCTTCGCGGCAAAGCATTTCGTGCTTTTCACACGTTCTTTGCATCCTACGCATCAAGTTACATGCTACGCTTCTTAAGCGTCAAATTTTTGCTTTATTTACAAAGAACTTCGCGTTTTTTTTTAAGTTTTTTGTTTATATTTTCACAATTTAACTCGTTTTAGTTATTAAAATTGATAAATACACATTAAAAATAGAATATAAATTGTCAAAATCAGCTGACATATTCGTGCGCCGCTTATGACGCTTACAAAAGTAGAAAGTAGATCTACTTTAAGCATTCTACGCGTCAAGGCATCCTACGCTTTTGTGCTTGTAACTTCTAGCACACAACAACATTGATTCAACTTTTTTGACAGCCGCGTAGAATGCGAAGAAGCATAGAACGCGTGGTGTGGACCTCCAGCTTAAGTACACAACACGCGTTGTACGCGGCAGCGCGTTATAGGCTTCTGTCAAAAAAAGTTGAAATAGTGTATTTTCATTTAACAAGTTACACACTGCAGTTTGTAACGCGTCTGCCGCAAAAAGTTCAGCAACTTTCAACTGTTGAGGAGTCGGCAGCTGATCAGGGTTGTATTTTGTTTTGTGTAGAGAATAAAAAATAAACTAAAATTAAATAAATTTCACCAACAATGAATGAAAACAAGTAAGAAAGTATAGTCGGGCGTGGCCGACCATATAATACCCTACACCAGTTATGAATATTAAATGTGATTTATTTTTCATAATAAAACATTTATCATAGATATTCCCTTGTTCCGATACATTTAAGCAATTTATTGATGAAAAACTAATTTTCTGAAAGAGGCTTTATATGGGGGCTAGGGGCAAATATGGACCAAGCCCGATAAAATTTTGCGAATATATTTATATTTACATAATATTTTATTGTGGTGAATTTCATCGGGATATTTGTGTTTATAAGTTAATTTGGGACATTCAAGTAATTTTCTTTAGGGGACTTTGTATGGGAGCTAGGGTCAAATGGGGCCTGATCTTTATGAAATTTGGCAGGGTTATCAAGACTTCTATAAAACTTAGTTGTGCCATAATTTATCGATATATCTGTATATCTAACATAATTATGAGCTCAGAAGCCCTTTTCGGGGGGTTCTGTTCTATGGGGGCTAGGTGAAATAATGGACCGATTTTAACCATTTTCAATAGGCTTCGTCCTTGGGTCAAATAAAACGTGCGTGCTAAATTTCATCCAATTATCTTGAAAATTGCGACCTGTAGCTTGCGCACAAGGTTTACATGGACAGCCAGCCAGCCAGCCAGGCGGACGGACGGACATAGCTTAATCGACACAGAAAACGATTCTAAGCCGATTGGTATACTTTAAGGTGGGTCTAGGACGAATATTTTTGTATGTTACAAACATCAGCACAAATCCAATATACCCTCCCCACTAAAGTGGTGTAGGGTATAAATATTAAAAAATAAACAAAATCTTAAAATGTTGATTTTTAAAACAGTAATAGTCTTAAAAAACATTAAAAGAAAGATCAAAATGAAGCGTTGTGTGTAACTTGCCGCTTATAAAGCGCGAAAAGTTTGAAAAGCGTAAAACGCGTTGCCGCCTCACGCGTGTTGTGTACTTCCACCTTAAATGTTATTGCAGTCAAGACCGTTTAGACCGGTGTGTCTAAATTTTTACATTTTTGTCTATTTAGATCATAATTTTGAGTTCACAGCTACAGTAAATGGTTATTTCCAAAGTTCTTTTTTAAAATTTGATGTCGCTGCTGGCTAAAAATGATAATATCCTGCGATATCCTTCGAAAACACTTTTTCTTTTTTTCATTTTAAATTATCAATATACCTCAAAATATAATGTGTAGTAAAGTCATATCCATAAAAAGTCCAGCAGTTTAGTTTTGTGCGTGAAAGGGTTTTAAGTGCAGTTCGAAATAAAACGGGTAAAGTTTTTGTAGATCATAAAATTAAGTAGCATTTTATGCAATTAAAAGAATATGAATTAAGCTATGTATAAACGGTTTTCAGATCTTACAACATTGGCAGATCTCTTCTCACTTTAAGTTACAGAAACACTTTTTACTCACAAATCGAGAAACGATGGAATTTTTTGTTTCACACTTCTCGATGTGAGAACTTCTCACTAAAAGTTACAGAAACGGGGTACTGGCAATGTAATTGCAATGTACTTACAATGAAAAGTTGTTAGCAACAGGTAAATTGTCAGTTCAGACGGTTGTAAGAAAACCTTAAAAGTTGTAAAAAAACCTTAAAATTTCAATTGTCAGACAATAAATTTATCTGTAAAAAAAAATGTCAGTTCACACTGTTGTCAGAATGTTCTATGGCAAAAGTTTGCAGATCTTATTTTAGCTACATATGTTCTTTTAATTCCAATATTAAACATTTATCTGACAATGCTTCCATTTCCATTTCCACATCTGACAATAAAAATTGTCAGACAATTATCTGGCAATGGCAACGTAATATGTTAGATGTCTGACAATATTTTCGTTATACAATATACTGAGAATACTTTTTCTATCAAAGTTGCAAGACACGGTTGTTAGACATTTACTGAACATTTTTCTGCCAACGTTGTAAGATCTGACAACCATGTATACACTGCTTAACAACGACGAATGCAGATGCATCAAGTTTTACTGGTACCTCGTATGGACTAATGGACAAGATATTTATAGGATTCACAATTTAAGAATTTTGACACCGATTTGATAGAACATGTTTTACCCATAAGAACATAATGCAGCATGATTTAATTTTAATGGCATATTTTAACAATAAGAGCTTGATATGATTTTAATAGCATATTTTAGGCATATTTCAAGCTCTTCTCTTTAAGCGAATATTTCTTTATGTTTCATTTTTTAATTTTCAAAAGTTTTAAAGTCTTTTTTTACCAAGTTTTTAATTTTTTTTATTCACCATCAAAAAAATGGTGGGTATATCGATTAAGTTATTCCGTTTATAACATTGGACGTAGATCCAATAGATGATATATATATTCTGAGCCTTATTAAATTCTAAGGTATCTTGCCATGTCTGTCTGTGAAAAGCACATAGGAAGAAATTTTGCATACTTCTCTATAAGGTTTGTTTGGTATTTGAGCAATATATGTCCACGAATTCACCTGGACCCCAGAATACAGTTTAAAGTGTCATAAATAATTTAACTAGGCAGCATTCATTACAAAATTTTGCACGGATCATAAGTGACCCTAACCCCATATAAAGTCCCCTTCATAAAATTACTCTAAAGCTTATAACTGGCTTAATAATGGCTGTATAGTGGAGAAATTTCCCGTTAGTTCTTATAAAACCAGAAACCAAAATCTTTTACCCCTTCATAAGATCCACTTTAGTAAATTATTTTAATGCTTCAAATACAATGAAATTCGACACAAACTAATTTGTAGAAACCAAAATCTCTCTATCAAAATTCCGACCATATCCCTGACTATATCCCTCATACAAGGACACCAGCTCAAATATAACCATTATTGCAAAAAATTCGTTTATAAAATTGATTGAGTTGAGAAAAAATTCGTCAAAAATTTCTTTTCGTGAAATAAAACTATCAGTTTCAAATTCCCGGTCCAAAATTGCCTTAAGTCCTCATAAACATCCTCAGATCTAAGCCTATATATTAGGCCGCCTTTCAAAATATACTGACTATATTATACTACATGAGATTTTACAATTTTTTTATCTTTTAAATAAAAACGATATTCATTTATAACATTTGACATCACTCCTTTTTTATTTTGTCTCTTATTCCCACATTCTCATCGTTATTGTTGCCACCTTGTTCATTTGAAAAACAGCTGTTACAATTTTGTTTACAGTGTTGATAAACGGATTTTATTTCAAATTAAAAAATCACTACTATTGTTAACGGTTAAATGCTAAACGTTTATATACCAAATGTTAAATATGAAAAAAGTAAAGAATATGAATTAAAAAACAGCTATATTATAGAATTCTTCTATAGTATCACTTTATCTGTTGAATAAATCCTGCAAATGACTATATTCTAGATTAGAATGTAATGCAAACTATTGATTACAGTATAGCTCTGATCTACAGTCTGAACGACAATCTTGTGTATAATCTGGTCTATAGTTTAGTTTATAGTCTAGTCTACAGTCAGAACTATAGTCTGGACGAAAGTCTAGTCTATAATCTGGACTAAAGTCTAGTCTATAGTCGGGACTGAAGTCTAGTATATATACTAGACAATAATCCTGTCTATATTTTAGACTATTATCTACTCTATAGTCTGGAGTCTGGTCTATAGTTTGGATTAAAATCTAGTCTATAGTCTGGATTAAAGTCTAGTCTATATTCTAGCCTACTGTCTGGACTGAAGCCTAGTCCATATTTTTTACTATTATCTAGTCTATAGTTTGGACTAAAATCTATTCCATAGTCTGGACTGAATTTTATACTACATTCTAGACTATAATCTAGTCTATAGTCTGGAGTATAGTCTAGTCCACAGACTGACCTATAGTCTAGTATAAAGTCTGGACACTGTAGAGTGACACTCTAAATCTGACTTATACCTACTGTTTACTACAACAATCTGGCAACTCAAATAAATGTTAAAAGCTTTTTCAAAACAGCTTTTGCTGGAAAACGTTACTTTTTTGAATTCAAAAATAAATTTACTAATATATTTTTATTTTTCTTTATTTTATTCAATGTTATTTACAATTTTATATTTAAAAATCAATCAATAACGTTATTAATATTACGATTAATGCTAATTAACAATTTATATTTGTTTATTTGATTAAATATTAAATTAAGTACATACTTTTAAAATAATTCCCTACACGTACAAGTATAACAGTATTTTCTTACAGTGTATTTTTACAAAATTTTCACTTGTGTAATTTGTGTGTTGACTGGGTCTATTTTCTTTTTTAATTTATTTCTTTAAAATTAGTACGTTTACATTCACATTTATACAAGGATTATTTTTCTAATAATTTCAAATTATTATTTGAGTTTTTACTTGACTATTGTTGTATATATTTTTGTTTGTTAAAAATAGTTTAAAACTATTTATGAACTTGTAGTTTATAAACGATTCCTTTTGGAAATTTCTTCGTTTACTGGTTATTATGGCATTCTCATAGATTTTAAATTAAATTTTTAATACAGCTTAACTAAATTAGTTGTTAAATAATAATTAAAACTTAAAACTAAATTTTAAAAGAAGAAAATAAAATAGAAAAGAAAACATACGAACTAGCAAGTCACTTGCAGCAGGTACGTTTTAAATACAATTCATGTTGTTTATTATTATTATTATTTTTATTTGAAATGTCTTTTGAATTCTTTCAATATTCTCGCTTAATTTTCGTTACATTTTGAGTTTCGTTACTGTGTGTGTGTCTTTTGAAAAGTTTTCAATAGCGATTACTTTCTCTATCCGAATATTTACCACTCATTTTACTAACCGAATAACGATCCGAATAGGCATCATATTTATCTGCTTTATAATTGATTTCTTGCGGTGTATAACCAATATTCTTTTGCCAGTGTCGTGTCCAATAGAGATCTTCGTTGCGTACTTGCGATGGTGTTTTTGCATCTCGGCACACATACACACAATAGACCATGCAACCGATTAAGGTTAAAAATCCGAATATTAAAAATATTATACCAAGAATCCTAGAAGATAAAGGAGAAAATGGAGATAAGAACTGTGATATATTTTTGTAAGTGATCTGGACTATAGAATATAGACTAGACTATAGACTAGACTATAGACTAGACTATAGACTAGACTATAGACTAGACTATAGACTAGACTAGACTATAGACTAGACTATAGACTAGACTATAGACTAGACTATAGACTAGACTATAGACTAGACTATAGACTGGACTATAGACTAGACTATAGACTAGACTATAGACTAGACTATAGACTAGACTATAGACTAGACTATAGACTAGACTATAGACTAGACTATAGACTAGACTATAGACTAGACTATAGACTAGACTATAGACTAGACTATAGACTAGACTATAGACTAGACTATAGACTAGACTATAGACTAGACTATAGACTAGACTATAGACTAGACTATAGACTAGACTATAGACTAGACTATAGACTAGACTATAGACTAGACTATAGACTAGACTATAGACTAGACTATAGACTAGACTATAGACTAGACTATAGACTAGACTATAGACTAGACTATAGACTAGACTATAGACTAGACTATAGACTAGACTATAGACTGAGACTATAGACTAGACTAATAGACTAGACTATAGACTAGACTATAGACTAGACTATAGACTAGACTATAGACTAGACTATAGACTAGACTATAGACTAGACTATAGACTAGACTATAGACTAGACTATAGACTAGACTATAGACTAGACTATAGACCTAGACTATAGACTAGACTATAGACTAGACTATAGACTAGACTATAGACTAGACTATAGACTAGACTATAGACTAGACTATAGACTAGACTATAGACTATACTATAGACCTAGACTATAGACTAGACTATACTAGACTATAGACTATAGACTAGACTATAGACTAGACTATAGACTAGACTATAGACTAGACTAGAGACTATAGACTAGACTAAGACTAGACTATAGACTAGACTATAGACTAGACTATAGACTAGACTATAGACTAACTATAGACTAGACTATAGACTATAGACTAGACTATAGACTAGACTATAGACTAGACTATAGACTAGACTATAGACTAGACTATAGACTAGACTATAGACTAGACTATAGACTAGACTATAGACTAGACTATAGACTAGACTATAGACTAGACTATAGACTAGACTATAGACTAGACTATAGACTAGACTATAGACTAGACTATAGACTAGATAGACTAGACTATAGACTAGACTATAGACTAGACTATAGACTAGACTATAGACTAGACTATAGACTAGACTATAGACTAGACTATAGACTAGACTATAGACTAGACTATAGACTAGACTATAGACTAGACTATAGACTAGACTATAGACTAGACTATAGACTAGACTATAGACTAGACTATAGACTAGACTATAGACTAGACTATAGACTAGACTATAGACTAGACTATAGACTAGACTATAGACTAGACTATAGACTAGACTATAGACTAGACTATAGACTAGACTATAGACTAGACTATAGACTAGACTATAGACTAGACTATAGACTAGACTATAGACTAGACTATAGACTAGACTATAGACTAGACTATTAGATTAGACTTTATAGTTCTGTTTATAGATAACACTAGGATATAGACAAGACTATAAAGCAGACTATAGACTACATTACAGTCCAGACTATAAACAAGACTAAAGTCCAGTCTGTTCCCATTTCCTAACATTACTTACCACACATAGAATGGCTCATACAATTGCACCACGATGACAAAACCCAACGTAACCAATATGATGCCCAAATTTAGCAGCAGCATTAAACAACAAACACCTTTAACGTTGGGACAGAAAGGATTTGGAGCTGACATCGTTTCAATTTTAGCTCCACGCTTTGTAGTGCTGCGAGCACTACGACCAGTTTTTGCAGTACTGGCTACAGAATAAACACTTCTGGGAGCTCTCGAAGGAGGACGATGACTATAGCGACTAAAAAGATATAATTAAATCGATTTAAATTCCAAAAATCAAAAATGAACCAAATACCTTATTTCTGAGGGAGCCTTATAAGCAGCACTCGTTACATATATATCACTGCCCGCATCACCGCCATGATCATAACTCAGGGCAGAAGGTGCCCTAGGAGGCAGGCGTGTTGGTGGTGGACCATTTAATGAGCGTGGACCGCCACTGTCCACCACTGATTGATTATAATGACCATTCGTTGAGCCATTCGTATGACCATTAATGCGTGTTTTCCTTGACGAATGATAGTGGCCCTGAGGTGAGGTACGTTCGTGTGCTATCGTATACTCGGACATTGTACGTTCAGAGGGAGCACGGTGAGATTCTTCGCCATCGGTGGAATAGCCACGATTCGAATGAACATATGGTGGATCGGGCGTTAAGCGACCATGAGTGGCCACATAGTGACCACCTTTTATTCTAATGCGAAAAAATACAAAATTAATTAAATTTTTAGTAGAACGATTAAGAACTTACTTTTTGACGCGCCTTTCATGCATGATTTGAGATTATATAGGTAAAGCCAGAAAATAGAATTAACAAATTTACAAAAGTTGTTTGCCGAGCTTTAGTACCACTGAGCCGTTTTAATGAAAATTATCCAAAAATTTTCATTAATAGTTTCAATTTGCCAAAAATTTCATTTCATGGTTTCTGCAACATAGAGAGAGAAAGAGAGAGATTATTAAAAAGTACTGTCTACTTTTAGGAGCAATTACATTTTAAATATATTTGCCTAACTTAAGGGTTATGTTAAGTAAATATTTAATATTCTTGTCAAAATGTCAACTTAATTAGAAAAGTTATTGCGTAAGGTTTCAGTTATACCCCATATTTAGCTTTAACTTATTTATTTTTTCAGACTCATATGAGAATTTATTAAAGTTAACTTTTAAACTTTGTTTTATTTTTAATTGTCGAAAATCCATTTTTGTTTATTTCTTAAACACAATTATTTAGCACAGGTTTATTAAAAAGTTTTAATTTTTTCACCTCTCTAGTAGAATTTCAGGTTTTAATTGCATAAAATGGTAATAAAAGTTTTTAATTTAATTTATTGCAAGTTCAAAGTTTCAAATTCAATAGTTCATATAAGTAAATAAATGAAATTTTTGTTTAAACAAATTAACTATTGCATGAACTCTAATAAAATGGATTAAAAGACCCGACACATTTTGCCCATATTCCCTAAAAGAAAGTTTCCCTTCAATTCTGATAAAAGTATATTTTCAAAATTAAATTCCATATTTTTTAAATGCAGCTTATACTTTTCTTTATGTTTTATTATAAACAATTACTACCATAATAATTCTCTAACAAATACTCAAAGGTCATTCAAAATGTTATTTCCTTTTTTAATGGCAGTGTCACTTTAAAATGAAAGAAAAAAGCCACATAAAAGTTTATAACCATTTTTGTTTTCGAACTGGAACGAAAAACACCATCAAAAGCAAATAATCGTAGGAAAAAAACAAATTCTTAACTCTAGTTGTCAGAAAACAATTTCTTTACCTTTAAAGCCAAAACAAAACAAGTAAAAGCCGTAAAAATTAAAATAGGGCTACCCTTCTTATGGAGAAAATGTTTCAAAGGGGAAAATAAAAAAATACTTTCAATTACAGACATCATTCTAATTTGCTCTATCGAGCAGATTATAGTCCGATCTATAGTTTAGACAATAGTCTGCTATATAATGCAAACGGAAGTCTTTATACTTTAGATGATAGTCTGCTACAGATTAGATTCAGACTTTAGTCTGGTCTATAGTACGAACTATAATGTATCAATAGTCCATAGTTTCTCTATAGTCTGGACTAATGAGACTATAGTCTGCTCTATGGTCTACATATATTATAGTCTACGCTAGAACAGAGCCAGAACTGACCTAGAACTTAACATGAACTTAACATGAACTAGAACTGAACTATAACTGAACTAGAACTGAACTTGAACTGAACTTGAACTGATCTAGAACTGAACTAGAACTGAACTAGAACTGAACTAGAACTGAATTAGAACTGAACTAGAACTGAACTAGAACTGAACTAGAACTGAACTAGAACTGAACTAGAACTGAACTAGAGCTGAACTAGAACTGAACTAGAACTGAACTAGAACTGAACTAGAACTGAACTAGAACTGAACTAGAACTGAACTAGAACTGAGCTAGAACTGAACTAGAACTGAACTAGAACTGAACTAGAACTGAACTAGAACTGAACTAGAACTGAACTAGAACTGAACTAGAACTGAACTAGAACTGAACTAGAACTGAACTAGAACTGAACTAGAACTGAACCAGAACTGAACTAGAACTGAACTAGAACTGAACTAGAACTGAACTAGAACTGAACTAGAACTGAACTAGAACTGAACTAGAACTGAACTAGAACTGAACTAGAACTGAACTAGAACTGAACTAGAACTGAACTAGAACTGAACTATAACTGAACTATAACTGAACTAGAACTGAACTAGAACTGAACTAGAACTGAACTAGAACTGAACTGAACTAGAACTGAACTAGAACTGAACTAGAACTGAACTAGAACTGAACTAGAACTGAACTAGAACTGAACTAGAACTGAACTAGAACTGAACTAGAACTGAACTAGAACTGAACTAGAACTGAACTAGAACTGAACTAGAACTGAACTAGAACTGAACTAGAACTGAACTAGAACTGAACTAGAACTGAACTAGAACTGACAGAACTGAACTAGAACTGAACTAGAACTGAACTAGAAACTGAACTAGAACTGAACTAGAACTGAACTAGAACTGAACTAGAACTGAACTAGAACTGAACTAGAGACTGAACTAGAACTGAACTAGAACTGAACTAGAACTGAACTAGAACTGAACTAGAACTGAACTAGAACTGAACTAGAACTGAACTAAGAACTAGCTAGAACTGAACTAGAACTGAACTAGAACTGAACTAGAACTGAACTAGAACTGAACTAGAACTGAACTAGAACTGAACTAGAACTGAACTAGAACTGAACTAGAACTGAACTAGAACTGAACTAGAACTGAACTAGAACTGAACTAGAACTGAACTAGAACTGAACTAGAGCTGAACTAGAACTGAACTAGAACTGAACTAGAACTGAACTAGAACTGCACCAAATTTTCTCAGTAGAAAAACCCTAAAAGAAACCCCTAATTTTATTGGAAAATAAACGTAAGAGTTTTAGAAAGATTTAAGCGAAAAAAATTATGAGCTATTGCAATACATACTTTAAGACTCTTATTTGTCAATGACATTAGAAGAGGATTAATAGAAGTGATAAATGTATGTATGTGGACATACACGCACTACTAAAAAGGGGGGGTTAGAGTGACAAAATAATTGTTGTGTCAAATTCAAAGGACCGTTCAAGTTAATAAAGTGAAAACAAGGTTCGTGAAAAAAACAATACAGCAACCAAGAAGGGTGAGGATTCAGTTGTGGTCGGAATGCTACGTATTCCATTTCCAAATTTCATTCGGACAATTTCTAGTTTTAGTTGAATTATTTGGCTAAAATAGTAAATGCAAGCACAACAAGCTCCAAACTAGACCTCTTGTAGGGTTAATTCTAAAGTATAAAATCCTTATATTTAGTAAAATTTACAAAACAAAAACATACTTGTTTCCACATGTCATAAACTTAACGCCTTCACCTCACTAACACTTTTTTTTGCGTTAGCGTTTACCACATTCGAAATGCCACAATCTAAGACTAAGACTAGGGTCGGTCAGATGTTAAAACTAAAGCTCTTAGAAAATACAACTCAATACATTTTATATTTATTTTATATGTTAATAGAAATAAATAATACTTATGTATGTACTATATGTACTTGTACATTCCGAACATTTAGTGGATACTAAAAATCAACAACAACAGCAGGAGAAATACATCAAATTTATTTAAGTAATGAGATATCAAGGTTTCAATGTTAGTGGGTAGTTTGCTGCGGATAAAAAAGCAGCAAAAATTTAGAATCACTTTTATTTTTATTTCCGTCTTAAAAGTTTATGTGGTGGTTACAAAAATTTCAATGTTACAAGATGTAATTTGATGATGTTTGATGTAATATTTACATACACGCGTATATGAACATAAACAGTGATGGAAAAATAATTTGCAATATGAATTTTAAGCGTAAGAACTAAGTAAGAGCCTACTAAGTACATACCATGACTTCAGTAAGCTATGAGGTAAGCGCTAAAACAAATGGAGAGGCATAGTGCTTACGCTCTTTCTCTCTATCCAAAAAATCTATAATATTTTCTACTTAATTTTAAACTTAAGATGCTATTTATTTTAACTAGGCTGTTAGTTCACCTTCAATTTCATTAATACTTTAATATTAATTCAAAATTATTGTTATTTCTCCAGACGGTACATATGTATGCCAAGTAAATACTTCAAAAACGTACGTTTTACTCAAATTACAGGCCATATAATTTTACTCCTGAAAAAAGGTTGATTTCAACAAAAAAAGGAAGAAAAGATTATTTGGATAATTTGCGGTATTTTCATCTAAACTCTGTTTATATATTTATTATATATGTTTTATTGTAAATGGGCTGATGTACTGTGTACGCCTTTGTAGGTCATGTTTAGCAGGAGCTATGACCAGGAACAAAATATTTTCGCAAATACAATAAAGACCTAAATGTAATTATACCTGAGGGAACCATATAAACATGAAAATAAAACCCCGCATAAAAACATTAGATTGAATTTCATAATAAAGATTAGGTATAAACGAGGCTGAATGGGGAGTCGTATATAAAAAAAAACGGAGACAATTGTTACACTGCATACCTTTGCATTATATGGAAATATAATTATATTATACTCATATAGTTTTTTGGGGATAATTAAAATTATTCTGTAACATTAAATGGTTAGTAGATCGGGCTGAATTACACCCAATTGTAATTTCGAAGATAGAGCAGACTAAAGCCTGGTGTATAGCTTCAAGTAAAGTGCAGATTGTAGTCTCGCTTACGAAATAAAATATAGGTTTTATAAAGTAAACTATAGGTTAAGACTCAACAGACTAAAATTTCGTCTGTAAAGCAGACTTTACTGCAGAGAGCAGCAGACTATAAGTTTTAGCCTCTAGCTGATTGTAGTCTACACTATGATATAGGTTTTAGTCTCGACTGTCTCTGACCAGACTATTGACTTGACTATAGACCAATGTATAGACCTGACTATAGATCAGACTATAGTTTTGACTATAGACCAGGCTATAGTCTTAACTATAAAATATACTGTAGTCTTAAGTATAGAATAGACTATAGCTTGGACTATAGAATAGACTATAGCGTGGACTATAGAATAGACTATTGTCTGGACTATAGAATAGACTATAGTCTGGACTATAGAATAGACTATAGTCTGGACTATAGAATAGACTATAGTTTGGACTATAGAATAGACTATAGTCTGGACTATAGAATATACTATAGTCTGGACTATAGAATAGACTATAGTCTGGACTATAGAACAGACTATAGTCTGGACTATAGAATAGACTATAGTCTGGACTATAGAATAGACTATAGTCTGGACTATAGAATAGACTATAGTCTGGACTATAGAATAGACTATAGTCTGGACTATAGACTAGACTATAGTCTGGATTATA